AACCCGGAGTTGATTTGGTCAGTGTGAAAAACAGAAACCGGCGCTTTTGCGAAGGGCGGAGGCTGGCGAAGGCTGGCGAAGGCGGGTTTTGATAAATGTTTTTTTTTTGTTTTCCTAAGGAAAAAGATCGATATTAAAGCAATGGGGTGGAGATAGAAAAGGGGTAAAGAAGACGTGTTGGGTGAACAGGCGAAGAGGAGAGAGATGCGGCGTGGAGGAGGCGGCGGTTGGCAAATAATGAGGAGTGATGGCAGTACGAAGTGCGCGTTAAAGACAAACAAACTGAGATGTGCGCACGAACATTTACGGATGCATATATGGATGTGCGTTGTGGTGGAAGAGCCGAGTTCGAATTCCAGTCGAGGTTGTTAAATTCACTTACGCGCAAATATCCTTGGGATTCATCTCCTTTCCCTCCAGCTATGGGTTGAATAGTAGGACAGACTGAGTTCTAGCAACCAGTCTACCACAGAAAGAATTGGCCACCTACTGCGGGAAAATCTGCAAGCGCTCTCTTCCGACGTGCCTTGAGCCAGCTCATAAAATGAACATGAGAATAATGTTGATGTTGAGTAAGCGTTTCCACCTTGAGAACAGCCGTTGCGTTTTTACACCGTTCGGTGTTCAAGCCTAGATACACGATTATGGAATCCTGATTTTCAAAGCAAGTGAACAAAGAACACTAATTGTAAAAATTGGAACAATACAATTTTCCTACCTTTCCCCTTCAGGTATTTTTTTTATTTAATGCTATATCAATATAGGTTATAGTCGGTCATGGCACTCCACAGTTTCCTTTTTTTGGTTATCAGTCAAGGAATAAGGAGTTTCCGTCTACCCTGCTCTCTAACCCATATCTATCATCTGTACTAAAATACTATTATATCACTAATATATATATATATATATATATATATATATATATATATATATATATATATATATATATATTGATGCATGTTTCATTAAATAATATAGACAAATGTTGTCTATTTATTTTATGTAAATTCTTTTCATATCGTCTGATAAGCTTAATAACATTATCATTAAAAGAAGAAAGAAAATCACAATATTGATACATATTTTTTAATCCTATCTAAGCTTTCGGCTTACATCAGCCATTATCAAAGATGACAATTACATTAAAATATATTATTAAACAATACACAGACAAAACAATAATGATAGTCTGTTTTTGTTTACATGGAAAATTTCGAAGCAACGACAAACTTGTGCATACGAGACGCTTGAAGCGAAAATCGCACCGCAGCTTATGATGTAGTTTATCGTAGGATGTCGTGTTTGTTGCTGTTAAGGGTGTTCATTTTTTCCTTGGCTATTTCAATTTGCCTTTTCACAAGGCTACATTTATAATTCCAAGTGTTGATAGTTTGGTCGGCTGCTGGATCATGCAATTTAAATTGTGTGTATTTAGGCAGAATTTTTTCATTGATGCATGTTTCATTAAATAATATAGACAATAAATGTATATCTGGGGTTGATATGACAGATGATCGATATCTTCGTTTGCCGAAATAGTCTATTCCTCATATGAGGTGATTTTGGATTTTATTGTGTTATTAATTGTTTTCTCTGTAATAATAAATACATTTAACTCTTTTTGTGGATCAGTTTTAATATCTTATATTACTAGGATCCACTTGGATTATATGCCAACGTATTTGTTACCTTTACTATCTATCTATCTATCTATCTATCTATCTATCTATCTATCTATCTAATATATATATATATGTCACATATATACAGGGTGTCCCAGAATAAATGTAACCCAAGAATGTAAATGACATTTATTTTCTGTTTACAAACTATATAAAAACCATATATTTCTGAAGGCTCCATAAAAAAACAAGATGGATGCATTTTTACCAGAAGTCACGTATCAAACAGAAACAATTACAGAGTATTAAGAAAAGAATTCTTAATAAAAGCAACTTTCAAATATTAAAAAAAAGAAAATGATTTAAGACTATTGATCAGGATTTCAAAATGCAACATATCAAAAAAATGTACCAATGGTAAACGTGGAATTGTTACGGAAATAATTATACCATTGTATTTAGGAAAAATATTTTAATCACAACATAATAAAAAAATAGTTTAAATATTGTAAGCATAATTCCAGGGTATCCCGGAATAAATGCAAGTCAGTAATGTAAACGTTATTTATTATTTGTTTACAAACTATGCACAAAGCGTATATTTCTGAAAATTAGACAAGCAAATCTACTGCTACAAATAACATGTCACTAGTTTTACTGGCAAAAATTCTATCGCCATTTATTGAATTTGCTTCAAATGTGCCTCGTTCTTCCTTCGTGACGGTCAAATGGCTGCTCTTTTGCGTCTTCGAAACAAAAGGGTCCAATAATGTCATACTTTGATATAGCTGTCCAAGAAGTGCATTTCAATAAATAGAGGGGGTTTTCTAGAATTTCATTTGGGGGTTCTGAATCTCAGAATACATTGTTCTTACTATTCACATGGTCTGAGAGTAGAAAACGTGCTTCACCTGAAAACCATACATTATTGAGAAAGTCTGGCTTGTCATCAATTTTATCTGGGAATCAGTTGTGCATTTCTAGTCTCTTTTCCTTATCAGCAGCGGTCAGTTTTTGTTTTATTTGGATTCTGTAAAGTTAAAGATGAAGGAATAAATTAAAACTTTACATTTATACAAAGTGTCCCAGAATAAATGTAAGCCAAGTATGTAAACGCCATTTATTTTCTGATTAGAAAATATATACACACCATATATTTATGAAAACTAGAGACGTTAGCAAATCTACTGCTACAAACAACATCTCATTAGCTCTACTAGAAAAGATTTTATTGTCATTTATAGAATACTCGACCACCCATGACTCATTGAGTCAACCTTGCTGTGTACTGTTTATTTAGTTTCATGAAGAGTTTGTGAAAGAGATATTTTAAAAATACATTTATTTGTAGGAATTGATATTCCTTTCAACATTAAAAAAATTGGCTGTTTGAAGAAAGTTGAAATAAAAATACTTACTCTATAAACAAATCGTATTTTTAAATCATATTATAAAACATTGGAGTTGCTTTGAACATTAAAAAAATGTCTGTTTGAAGAAAGTAAAAATAAAAATATTTAAAATATTCTTTGTTTAAAGAAAGCTGAAATATAAATATGCACGCAGACAATCACGGGAAGGTGGAAAGAGAAAGAGGTGAAAAGAGAGAGAGGTGGAAAGAGAAAGAGGTGAAAAGAGAAAGAGGAGAAAAGAGAGAGAGGTGGAAAGAGAAAGAGGTGAAAAGAGAGAGAGGTGGAAAGAGAAAGAGGTGAAAAAAGAAAGAGAGGTGAAAAGAGAGGGAGAGGTGAAAAGAGAGAGGTGGAAAGAGAGGGAGAAGTGAAAAGAGAGGGAGAGGTGAAAAGAGAGAGGTGGAAAGAGAGAGAGAGGTGAAAAGAGAGAGAGGTGAAAAGAGAGAGAGAGGTGAAAAGAGAGAGAGAGAGGGGTGAAAAGAGAGAGAGGGGTGAAAAGAGAGAGAGGGTGAAAAGAGAGAGGTGGAAAGAGAGAGAGAGGTGAAAAGAGAGAGAGAGGTGAAAAGAGAGAGAGAGAGGGGTGAAAAGAGAGAGAGGGGTGAAAAGAGAGAGAGGGGTGAAAAGAGAGAGGTGGAAAGAGAGAGAGAGGTGAAAAGAGAAAGAGAGGTGAAAAGAGAGAGAGAGGTGAAAAGAGAGAGAGAGAGGGGTGAAAAGAGAGAGAGAGGGGTGAAAAGAGAGAGAGGGGTGAAAAGAGAGAGAGGGGTGAAAAGAGAGAGAGAGAGGTGCAAAGAGAGAGAGGTGAAAAGAGAGAGAGAGAGGTGTAAAGAGAGAGAGAGAGGTTAAAAGAGAGAGAGAGGTGAAAAGGGAGTGAGGTGAAAAGAGAGGTGGAAAGAGAGAGAGGTGAAAAGAGAGAGTTGAAAAGAGAGAGAGAGAGAGGTGTAAAGAGAGAGAGAGAGGTGAAAAGAGAGAGAGAGGTGAAAAGAGAGTGAGGTGAAAAGAGAGTGAGGGGAAAAGTGAGAGAGAGAGAGAGAGGTGAAAAGAGAGAGAGAGAGGTGAAAAGAGAGTGAGGTGAAAAGAGAGTGAGGTGAAAAGTGAGAGAGAGAGACAGGTGAAAAGAGAGACAGGTGAAAAGAGAGAGACAGGTGAAAAGAGAGAGGGGTGTAAAGAGAGTTGAAAAGAGAGAGAGCTGAAAAGAGAGACAGGTGGGCGGAAAGAGAGAACTTTTTTTTTTCTCCATTTCCCACTCTCTATATATGACTTCTGGCAAATACACAAGCAACGTTCACATACTTTTATAGGGATAAAGATGCTCCAAAGGTGCTCTGTTCTGCTGAAGACACACATGAATTCTACGGGCGAAGTTGTCAATGGCTTTCATACACTCTTCTTTTGGTAAATTTCTGATTACTCGAGTGATTGCTAGCTTTAGCTTTGAGATGGTTTGGGGGTTGTTCTTGTAGACTTGGTCCTAAAGATACCTCTCCCCCCCTCAAAAAAAAATCTGGGGGTGAGGTTGTGGGAATGCGGAGACTCCTCAGGTTCGCGTTTACAACTGATGAGTCCGTTAGGAAACTTCTGATCCAGCCACCCCAGAGAGACATTTGCTGTATGACGAGTGGCCTCATCTTCTCTCGGACCACTGGTGTCCCCTCTAAAACCTAGTTGCACCTCTGCCACGGTTCATGATCCCCAGTCCATGCCAGAATTTGTTCAGTACCTCCAAATAGAGATGATTCGTGACGGTCAATGGCTGCTCCTGCGGATCTTCCAAACAGAAGGGTCCAATAATGCCATACTTTGATATAGCTGCCCATGAAGTGCATTTCAATGAATGAAGGGGTCTTTCTAGAACCTCGTTTGGGGGCTCTAAATCGCAGAATACATTGTTCTTACTATTCACATGGCCTGAGATTAGAAAATGTGCTTCATCTGTGAACACATACATTATCGAGAAAGTCTGGCTCGTCTT